AGCAACACCATGGTGGCCACGCCCTCCACCTATGCCCCACAGCGTCAACTGTGCGCGATGGGGCATGAAGGCAGAGTCTTGTCTATGCTGCCTGGCTGCCATGTCCTTGGCTGCGCTGCTCCGTGTGGGCCACGCTCAGGGGCAACTCTCCTCCATGGGGGCTGCTGGTGAGGAGGTCATGGGGGGAGGCAAGGCTGGGGCAACAGCACGTGTGTGCACAGAGAGGGCTCCAAGTGCCGCCTCTGGAACGTGTGCCATAGGTTCACCACCACTGGCTTATGGGAAATTGTTAGCAATACAGTTAAAAAGGGCAAACCTAAAATACCAGCAAAAACCGATGTTAGTTAGCTAGCACAGCAAAACTCCAAAAACAAAAATCTTTCAAGTATGACAAGGTCCATCCTGTGTGGCCCTCAGTATTTAGAACAAAGGTTTTAAGAGGGGAAAAAAAACAACCCTTTCTCTTGGGGCTCCGTGGGTGAGATTAAAGGAAAAATGTTCCCGTAGCCGTTTTGATGCCAGGAACAATATGGCACAAATTCTGCTGGCCCCAGAGGGTGCAACAGTCCAAGAAGCCCGTTGGCCTCAAAGAGAGTTGTTTGACTTGACATTCAAAGCCAACAATCAGCAAGGCTTGTTTGTAAACTCAGCTACGAGCGACCGTCCAACTTTGTAACTTAGGAAATGTCTATTGGGATTTTTGCCACATCCCAAATTTGCAGTGTACCGTGTGATGTGTTTCTCATCCAGTTCTTAAGACATTCACGAAAAATTGTTTCTTTTTTCTTCTCTCTCTCTCTCTCTCTCTGTGTGTGTGTGTGTGTGTGTGTGTTTGTGTGTCTGTCTCTGTCTCTCTTTCTCTCTCTCTCTCTCTTTCTTTCTCTCTGTCTGTCTCTGTCTCTCTCTGTGTATGTGTGTCTCTGTGTCTCTGTCTCTCTGTGTCTCTCTTTTTCTCTGTCTCTCTGTCTCTTTCTCTCTGTGTGTGTGTCTCTGTCTGTCTCTCTGTCTCTGTCTCTCTGTCTCTCTGTCTCTCTCTCTCTCTCTCTCTCTCTCTCTCTCTCTCTCACCTTCTGGAGGTATATCTCTCCCATTTTCAATAAAAGGAACCTGCCAAAAGTTTCACAATGCATAATTAAATTTGAAATTGTGTCTTTATTAAAGAGGAGAGCTATGCGCAAATTATAACTCTCTAAAATTAATCGAGGACAACTGTGAAGTTGTTTTCCTTTCCCTGCCTGCAAGAAGAAAGTAGGAGATGGAAGCATGTTGGCTACTCAAAAGAGTAGAAAAAAAGCAAACCATGATTGGCTGGGGGACCGAAAGCCAGTTCCTTGTAGAGGCACAATCCAGATGTGATGTCCCTTTGCCTTCAATGGCTAACAGAATAAGAGACACGGAAGGGACCTTGGAGGTCTTCTAGTCCAACCCTCTGCTCAAGCAGGAGATCCTATATCAGGAGTGTCCAACCTTGAGAACTTGAACCAAGTCCCAGAATTCATGGCTGCCTGGGGAATTCTCAGTCTTGAAGTCCATAAATCTTAAATTTTCAAGGTTGGGCACCCCCCCTGTCTTATTCCATTCTAGACAAATGGTTGTCCAATCTCTTCTTAAAAACTTCTAGTGTTGGAGCATTCACAACTTTTTGGAGGCAAGCGGTTCCACTGATTAATTGTTCTAACTGACAGGAAATTCCTCCTTAGTTCTAGGTTGCTTCTGTCCTTTATTGGTTTCCATCCGTTGCCTCTTGTCCATCCATTCCTTCTTCTCCAAGGCATTGTCCTGTTAGGTGGCATCACCAGAAGCATCTTCCCAAACGCACCAAGAAAACAGGCCATTTCTTCAAGCACCACCCAGTAGAAACAAATTTAGCAGCCTTTATTTACTTATTTCTCTATTTATTTGTATTTGAAGTCCACCCATCGTCCAGTTGCTACCTTTGAAAATCACTAAAACTGCTTGAGCAGGGAGTTGGACTAGCAGACCTCTAAGGTCCCTTCCAACTCTCTGTTATTTAATCAGTGGATCAGTTTGCCTCCAGAAATTGTGGGTGCTCCATCACTGGAGGTTTTTAAGAAGAGATTGGATCCTTGTTTGTCCAGAGTGGTATAAGGTCTCCTGCTTGAGCAGGGGATTGGACTAGAAGACCTCCAAGATCCCTTCCAACTCTGTGATTCTGTTGTTTTGTTACAGAATAATAGTCACTAAAGTGGACACGAGGATTGAGTAGAGCATGGATGAGAGGCAGCGGGGGGCAAAAAAAGTCAAGATGGCTACTAGGGTAGGCAACAAAACTTTAAATATTAAGCCCACTGAATAGTTTGCGGTGCATTGCAAACTAAATCTGACAGAATGAACACGAGAGGAGAATTGATCGAGCTTTTCACATTACGTGCAATTCCATGCCCTTTTAAGCGACCCCGTTGCAACAGGTTGTGCAAACACAATTACTGAGTGTGAAATGGGAGGTTAAGGAGGGGGAGAGGAGAGTGGGAAGGCAAGCCTGGAGCCAGTGCCGTTCATTCTCACTCTCGCTGGGAAAGGGTGGAGGAAGCAAAGAGGTTTATTTCTTCCATAAAGAGAGGAATTGTCAGGTGTCTGCAGGGAGCTCCTGCCCATGTTTTGATTACAGGTAGTCCTTGACTTACAACCACAGTCGAGGTGAAAGCTTGTGTTGCTAAGCGAGACAGTCGTAAAGTGAGTTTTGTCCCATTTTACGACCTTTTTTGCCCTGGTTGTTAAGTGAATCACTGCTGTTGTTAAGTGAATCTGGCTTCTCCACTGACTTTGCTTGACAGAAGATTGCAAAAGGGGATCACGTGATCCCCAGGACACTGCAGCCATCGTAAATACGGTTCAGTTGTCAAGTGTCCGAATTTTGACCACGGAGATGCTGCAGAGGTTGTAAGTGCATAAAAACGATCCTAAGCCACTTTTTTCAGTGTCGTCATAACTTTGAAGGGTCGCTAAACGAACGGTTATAAGTCGAGGATTACCAGAGTGCTTCTCCAAAGAGGTTGAGAGCCACAGGAGGAGAGAGCCTTGGTGGCATTTGACCTTCTGCAAATCAGTATCTGTCTCTCGGCTTCTTCTTCTTCTTCTTCTTCTTCTTCTTTTTTATTAAAAGTTTTAAAAATTTTATACAATATATATCCCAAATCCCTCCCACCCCTCCCCCACTTCCCAGAGCTGATTACAGGGTTACAAATAAACAGTCATGATCTAACTAACATTATCCAACTGTACTAACAATCAAATCCATAACATACTTTAACTCCTTTTCAAGATAAATATTAACAAATTAAAAACAAAAATAATAATATAATTAAAACATAATACTAAAAATAATATAAATTCAACCATATTAAACTATTAATAATAATCTAAAATTTACTCATAAGCCAAATAATACTTTTTAGTCTCATATTTCTTCTGAATATAATCTTCTTCTTCTTCTTGTGCCATACCCATTATCGGACGTTGGCGATCCTGTTTTTATCAGCAGCTGCACAAAAAAGTGCTGCTGAGTTTTGTCCCAATCAGTCCCTTAGATTTTGAAGCCGTGATGTTCTTCTTCTGCCTGGACCTAGTTTGTCTTCAATCTTTCCCTGGAGGATTAAATGGAGTATGCCCTATTTTTCTGGGTGTCACATCACATGTCCAAAATATTCTAACTTTCGTTTTTTAATTGTTTTGATGATTTCCCTTGGCTTTCCCAGGCGGCTTATCACCTCCTCATTTCTGATCTTGTCAATCCAGCTTAAACTTAACGGCCGCCTGTAAATCCACATTTCCAACGCTTCTAGTCTCTTCAGGTGGCCTTCTGTCAGAGACCAACTCTCTACTCCATAGAGCAGGATAGAAAAAAATATAGCATCTCACAAGCCTGATTTTCAGTCTTCAGCTAGGAAGAGCTAACCAAGGATTGGGCCAGTTCTGGAGAGGTCCAGGGATTGGGTTGACCTGCTCGCTTGCCCCGGCAGATGCTGGCTGGAAGGCCAGGCAGCAAGCAGGTTTGTTCTTCTCTCTCTCTCTCTCTCTCTCTCTCTCTCTCTCTCTCTCTCTCTCTCTCTCTCTCTCTCTCCCTCTCTCTCTCCCTCTTAAATTTCTGGGACTCTGAAGCTCCATTTTTCCTAAGGCCTCTTGGAGATTGATGCGGAGTTCCATGCAGATCGCTTGGCGTCAAGTTAGCCCCTGTCAGATGTCTGGGAGCATGGAAAGTGCCCTCATGCCCAGCTGGCCACACACACACACACACACACACACACACACACACACACCGGAGTTTGCAGTCTGGCCTTTCAGGAAGGCACCAGAAGTGGGAAAGTAGACAGGACTTTGAAGGTCCAATGCCACCCTTCACGTGTTGTTTGTTAGTTTGTTCAGCTATTAAATTGGAAAGGCCGCCCGATTCCGTTGTAAGGTTTTATAACACTCTGTTGCTCAGGGCCTCCACTCCATTTAAAAAAAAAAAAAAAATCCAGCCAACTATTAAAGAAGCCCTTTTGTGTGTCATACCAACCCTTTGCAAGCCAGCCCCCATCCTGCTACCTCCTCCTCGGGGGGGGGGACGAAGCCAGTTCAGACCCTGCCAGACTCTGCCAGATGTGAAACCGTAACAGCAAGGAGCCCCTGGGTCTCCTTTGGTTTCTTTCTCAACTTTTTCAGGTTAAAAGGTAACTGTGCAGCCCTCTTTTTCTGCCAAGAAACGCTTTTGGGTGTCTCCACGTGAAAACAGTGGCAGGGTGATCCTCACACTGGTAGAATACGAGCCATAATCCAGCTAGCAGTGGCAAGATCTACCAACACATCAGCTGCAGCCCTCAAAACCCCTTGAAAATATTCTAGCGAGGTCTTAGGGAGGGAGCGAGGGAGGGAGGGGAAAGGAAAGGAAAGGAAAGGAAAGGAAAGAGGGAGGGAGGGAGGAAAAGGAAGGAACGAGGAGGAGGAAAAAAAGAAGCGGGCAAAGAAGGAAGGAGAGACAAAGAAAAAAGTAAGAGAGAGAGAAAGAAAAGAAAGAGAAAGAAAGAAAGAAAGAAAGAAAGAAAGAAAGAAAGAAAGAAAGAAAGAGAAAGAAAGAAAGAAAAAGAAAAAGACTTCCCAGACATAGCCTCTCAAGATCCTGACCTTGATAAGGCTCCTTCAGAAACCAGACCTTTTAGGGCTCCCAAACTCTCCTGGTTTTGTTTTTTTGGAAACCCGCGCTTTTTCCAAACAAAAGCCCAATTAGCAGATTGCAAAACAAGCGGTTTCCTTGCTCCTGCAGTGTTTGTGTTTGAGGAACAGCCGCCAAATTCTTTGCAAAGCTTCCCAGCCGTGACTGCTGGGTCACTACCCTCGACAGCCACTCAGCCCGTCTTCCCTGCTCTCCTCCCCGTTCAAGCGCAACCCCGCCAGGCGAGTTGTGCAGATTTATAATGGCTGTTTTTCGATTGAGTTGTGTAGCTTTGCTGCTGCCACAGAAAAAAAAAAAAGCCGAGAGAGCAAGCAAGCTGGGTTGTCTGGCTGTGAGAACGCACTTGGCTGGAGGGCAAGGCTTCCGGTAAGAATTATTTGGCACTGCGGCAAAATCTGCCAAGTTTCAGCTCATCTCAAATGCCTCTTGGCTAAATGGGGTTCCTTTGGGGGGGCTGGGGGGGGGGCTTTGCACTGACGTGCACATTTGTCTTGTCTTTTTCTCTTTACACCAGTGGTTCTCAACCTTTTTAATGCTGCGACCCCCAACCGGTCATAAGTCGAGGACTACTCAACTGGTGCAGCACCGTTTGCAGAATGGGACTTTTGGTGGGCTCAGCAGGGCAGAGACAGCCTGGACAATTCCTATTGGCTTTTGAAAGCCAATAGAATTAGATTCTATTCAAGAGAGTCTATTTTATTGACTTTCAAAAGCCAATAGAATAAAAGGGAGTAGCACAGCTAAGGAAAAGGGGACAAAAAATGGCGGACTGCATTGTTTGGCGACCCCCGTGAAATGGTCGTTCGACCCCAAATGGGGTCCCAACCCACAGGTTGAGAACCACTGCTTTACACCGTTCATTACTTTATGCAACGTATTTGGAGCAGTGTGTCTCCACCTTGGCAACTTGGAGATGGATGGACTTCAACTCCCAGAATTCCCCAGCCAGCATGAAGTCCACACCTCTTAAAACTTGCAGGCTGGGGAATTCTGGGAGTTGAAGTCAACACATCTTGAAACTTTTTTTTTTTAAATAATTTTTTATTTTTCCGAACTTTCCCCCATACACATACTGTGATATTTATCAGAGGTTATCATACATTCTTTTTACATTCATATATAAGCTACTTTTAATAAAATGAAATAAATACATACACATGACTTTTGGTGTTGCTTGCCCATTTCCCCTTTCACTGTATCCACACTCCTTCTTCTCTACCTTCTTTCTCCCTTTCTTCTCTTCCCTACTTCCCTCTTCTTCCTCTCCTCTTCTCTTTCCTTCACCACTCTCCTCCCCTTTCTCCCCACTTCTACTTTTCTCCTCCAACCTCCCTACTTCCTTCTCCCCTCCTTTACTCTTTTCTCTCTCCTCTCCTTTCTTCCCTCTCATCCCTCTTCAGATACAATTCAGGGGTAATGTCCGAGCAACTCCTCTCTCGAAATTTCCCTATCTGTATTATATACAATAAGATTAATTTTCTCTTACATTAATACTTCTATTTATCTAACCTTCTCGGTATATATTTCTATAAATATTTATACAACCTCCAGTTATTCAATACTGTGTCGCCTGGGTCTCCCTCCTTATCTGCTCCTTCTTCTTCCACCTAAATTGATGTTAACTATCTTTTAACCGTATTCTCTTTTCTGCCAATCATAAAAAGTTCCCCAGATTTCATAGTAGTCTGACTCTGTCTTATCTTTAATTGTCATTGTTAGTCTATTCATTTCTGCACATTCCAGTATTTTTCCCAATCACCTCTCCCTCTGGGGGGGGCTTTCAGTGCTTTCCAATTTTGTGCCAAGTTTCAAGACATTTTTAAAATGTCTCGACTTCAACTCCCAGAATTCCCCAGCCAGCATGAAGTCCACACATCTTGAAACTTGCTGGCTAGAGAATTCAGGGAGCTGAAGGCAACACATCTTGAAACTTGCTGGCTGGGAATTCTGGAATGTCCCCAGAGGAGAAAAAAAAGCTGAAGTATGCATTCTTGCAATCTTGATCTTGCTTTTGGGTTTTAGGTTATTGTGGCTGAGGGAAGAAGCTGTCAAGAGGGTTGAGTCTGGCATGCTTGGTTTATAACCTCGCCAAGCCAGAATCTAGAGACAAGAACAAGTTTTGACTTTGGTTCATTTGGAGAAGAAGCACCTCAAGGTCACAAGTAGATGGAACTCCATTGCACAGGCCATTTGGTCGGAAGTCCTCTCAAGCACAAGAATTTGGACCTCAGAAAGCCTATGTTCAGGTAGTCTCTGTAAATTAGAGCTGGGGATGACCTAATAAAAGAGTTGGAAGAGACATTGGAGGTCTTCTAGTCCAACCGCCTACCTAAGCAGGAAACCCTATACCAACGGTAGGCAACCTTGGCTCTTTTATGACTCGTGGACTACAACTCCCAGAATTCCTGAGCTAGTTTGGCTCAGCTTGGAAACCTCTCCCTTTCCCCTCAGCGTGGCTGGCTCAGGAATTCTGGGAATTGAAGTCCACGAGTCATAAAAAAGCCAAGGTTGCCTACCCCTGCCCTATACCATTCCATACAAATGGCTGTCCAATCTCTTCTTAAATACATTCAGGTCCTTTATGCATTGGCATTGTGCGAGACCATGGCATCAATCACGCTTGGGAAGGATCTCTGATGGGATCAAGATAGGAATGGCCCATCCTTGCTCTTCTTGGAGCAGGGCAAACAGTCCCAGGTGCACCTGAGTGTGCCCATATTCCATCTCTGCTCCGTAAGCTGCACTCAGCCCCACGTGTTGATGGTGATCAACTGAGTTGTATTGGTCCCTGGTGATTCTGTGGGCCAAGTGGTCTCTCCACATGTTCCAACTTTGCACTGCTTCTTTGAGCTCTTTTTTGCTCTGGCTGGTGTCATCCCCACATGGAATCCAAGATGCTGGTTGTCACTAAGCAGACGCTGGTCGGCTGCCTTCCTTCTGCAGGGAATTAAGCCATGGAAAGCCCTTCCTGAGGTCCCCCTGAGCTTCAGCAGACAGCATTGAACGTGCACCAGGTAGGCCCTTAGAAACCCCAACTAGCTTCAAGACGTGAAACTTGAGAGACTTCACATTCCATCTCCTTCAATGTGCCGCTGAAGCTAAGCAGGCTTCCTGGGAAAGCCGTGAAGCCAAATATGGGCTGGAGGGAGTTGCTTAGGGGAGTTTGAGGTCCAGCGGGTGATTTATTCGTTCTCTGAGAGGTCAGAAATCCTCATAGGAACCCTGGTTTGTTTTTCACCAAGGAGAAGTGTTGCTTCTTCTGGCTACTCCTCCTTGGTCTGCTCATTTCCTTCCTGTGGGGTCCTTGCTGTTCTTTGAGCTTGGTTGTTTTCTTGGAGACAATGTGCAGGGATGATGTGACCCAGTTGGATCATGAAACATCTGCAAAAAAACAACCAAGCTCAGAGAGCACCAAGAACCCCACAAACCACCCTCCTCCTCCTCCTCCTCCTCACAAACCCCACTCCCTTCTAGCATTAATGATGTTGCCTACTTGTGTCATGAAACATCTGCAAGCAAACAACAAGGTACCAAGGACCATAGAACGTTCCTCCTCCTCTTCCTCCCCCCTCCCCCCTCCTCTCCCCAAACCCCATTCCATCGCAGCACTGATGAAGTTCCCTAGTTGGGTTATGAAACAACCAAGTTTAGACAGCACCAAGGACCTCACAGTTCAACTTTGAGCTGCATTCTCTTCTATCTAATCAACCTATAGATAAACAGAGAGAAATTTCCACCCCCTTCTAGCTCTGATGATGTCAGTTAGTTGGGTCATGAAATGTTTGTAAAAAAAAACACCCAAGCTCAGAAAGCACCAAGGTCCCCATAGTCATCCCTCCTGCTCCTCTTCCTCCTCTTCCTCCTCCTCCTTCTCCTCCTCCTCTTCCTCTTCCTCCTCCTCCTCCTCCGCCTCCTCCTCTCCTCAAACCCGCTCTCTTCCAGCACTGATGATGTTCCCTAGTTGGGTCATGAAACATCTACAAGAGAACCACCAACCTCAGAGAGCACCCAGGACTCCACAATTCAGCCCTGAGTTACAAAGATTCTCTCCTATTGATATTTCCTTATCTCCTGCTCTCGAGTATCACATCACTGCCCAGGTTTAGTATCCTTTAGCTGTAGCAACCAGTTATTTACACTCACACCTTCTTCCAGTCTGGAGATACAACACGGTGCAGGCCATCCTGGGTTGCTGGTTCCAAGAGTCGACCAGCTTGTGACCAGCAAGGATGAGAAGCATCAGCCTTGTGAAGCAAAGTTGGAAGAGAGTGAAGATTGTTATAGGTGTTGCATAAACATTTTGTGCATGAGTGTGCTCTTTTGGGCAAACACACAGCTGCACTCAGCAAGAGTCACACTTTAACTGACTTATTTTCATGGATGATAAGCCAGTCCCCCCCACCCAAGGTCCTGGCAGCAGCCAAAATAAGGCACAGTTCAGTATGGAATAATAATAATACTATATGGAAATGAATAAAATGGTCTAAACAGTAACAAAACAGAATCTTCATGTCTTTGTGTCTCATACACCACCCAGAATAGCAATGGGCAGCTTATACATTTAAGAACACAGGGGTGCTGTGATTGTTAACTTCCAGGCAGAGGTAGGATTGTGTGATTGTTAATCTGTACCCCAATATATCTTCATGCCTTCCCCCTTTTTATTCTGTTATTCAAATATGTGAAGATTCTGTTTTGTTACCGTTTAAACTGCTTTATCCATTTTCTTATAGTATTATTGTTCCATATTGAACCGTGGCTTATTTAACTGTTCACCATTTCTTAAAAAGAAATTTTTAAAAATTAAAACACTCCAGTACTTGACCAGAAACATCTTCAAAATATTTTCAGGACAATTCTTCTGATCATTTTTTTTCCCACTACAGCAATCCTCGACTTACGACCAGTTGCTCAGCAACTGTTCAAAGTTAGGACGGACCCCAGAACAATCCTTAAAACCTGGATTCAAAGTTATGACAATCCCCCCCCCCCCGCAGTGCTCAGCAACTGGAATGCATTAACGGCTGTTTGCAGCGTCCTATAATCACATGACTCCAATTTATGATATTACAGACATTTTCTTTGGTTCCTGGCCAAAATAAAATGCCTGTTGCAAACAATGGGTTTGGTTAATAACTGCTGCAAAAAATGATATAAAACCACCATAAGACCCCCTGGTGGTGCAGGGGTTAGAATGCAGCATTATAGACAAACTCTGCCCACTGCAAGGAGTTCGATCCTGACTGGCGCAAGGCTGACTCAGCCTTCCATCCTTCCGAGATTGTTAAAATGAGGACCCAGATTGTTGGGGGCCACAGACTGCAAAGAGGTGCAAAGCACTGTGAAGCGGTTTATAAGTCTTAAGT